ACATTACCCTGCTTGCTGAGGCTATGCACCCTGAAGGGGTGGGGAGTACTTGGCAGGCAGAGTTAGAACTAATATTCTCCCTAGTGCACTAATCATGCGCTTGGGTTCTCAGAGTCTACCAACAGTTAAATTTTTATCAGACCCATTTCCTCAGTTTCCTGAAGAACTTTGTCAAGGACTTGGAGGAACTTCCCTACAGCTCGAGTTAGAGAACATGTGGGTTGTGCTACTCAGTGACTGACTAAAGACTACAGAGAATTCCTGTCCATTCACATGATTATGTTTAAGGATCTTCCAAAGGCACCAACCCAGAAGTTGGTTTCATTTCCTGAAAAAAAATCCACCTGCGTCAGCCTCCCAGAGTGCTGAGATTACTGTCCCAGGACTGAGCTAGAACATCTGACATCTTTCCTATCTTAAGGAGACTCCTATCTGGGTGGTTACCTAGAGGTTAGAGGAAGAGTCACTGTCCTGGACCTTCTGGTGCTTCCAGCATATCTTGTCACGGACTCCCCAAGACAGACAGTCAAGATTTCCTGCACATAGAGCCCTGGCACTAGATAGGAAATAGATCAAAGAGAAAGGATTAAAGAGTAAGGCCTGACGAAGAAGAGCCCATAAAAATTCCACATAGGGTCTGGAGTTTTGAGTCGTTTGGAGTCTGGTAGTATGGCCCAGCCAGTGCCACAGCATGGAAGTGCTCTGCATACCCTGTACAGAATAGGGTGTATCATAGGATCCTCTCATTCCTGACAAGGGTACCCTAACTAGTTCTCTATCCCATCCTCTTCCGCCCCCATATCGACCCATGATTGTGAACTACTTGGATAAATTTCTCAAGACTTTTGGCCTAGGGATGGTATGATCTAATTTTGAATTTCACCCTAGTTTACTTTCTGACGCCTTTGCCCATGCGTCATATGATCTTGGACCTTGCACCTTCTGAGTGTCGGTTCTCTTATCTATAAAAATGGTGGTGGAAGGGGGAAGATTATTTTCTGGTTGAATTTTACCCTAGTTTACTTTCCGACGCTTTTGCCCATGCGTCATATAATCTTGGACCTTGCACCTTCTGAGTGTCGGTTCTCTTATCTGTAAAAATGGTGGTGGGAGGCGGAAGATTATTTTCTGGTTGAATTTCACCCTAGTTTACTTTCTGGTTGTCAATTCAGTATTATTTTTATCCTTGCTGGATGTTCACACTGGTCAAATTAACCAGATAATTGCTAACACTCTAGTTTATGTTGTTTAGAAGTAACAGGAGTTGGAGGAAATGTCCTAAAAACAAGCAAAACCAGTTTAAAAAAAAAGTCAGCAAGAGTTATCCAGTTTTATTTAAAAACTGACAAACCTACCTTTCACTTCATACTCATAGATTCCATCATAAGTTGTATTTCCAAGACTGCTGAATTAGTGGTGAAAAGCCAATCAAGTTATGGCAATTATCTTTGGGATAATTTGCTACTTTTAAGTGAGCATTTTGATGCTGTGAGCTGTCTGGGCTCATTTTGATGAATAGTGAGTTTTTAATCATTCAGACCTGGCCTTGCTCACAGATTTAACCTAAGAGATGGCATAGTATGAGGAAAAGGACTTGGGCTTTGAAGGAGGACAAAACTAGGTCCAAACCCTTGTGCTTCTGCGGGTGCGTCATATGACCTTGGACTTTGCACCTTCTGAGTGTTGGTTCCCTTATTTGTAAAAATGGTGGTGGGAGAGGGAAGATTATTTTCAAGATTGATGTGAAGACTAAAAATTAAATGATATTTTATAGATCAGACATGGTGCTATATAAAGTACCAGACACACGGTTGGTAGTCAGAGTAAGTACAGAGGCTGAGGCATGAAAATCATATGAACCTGGGAAGTGGGGGCTACAGTGAGCCAAGATCACGCCACTGCACTTAGCCTGGGCGACAGAATGAGACTCTGTCTCAAAACAAACAAGCAAACAAAAAAAGAATAAGTACAAACTTCCCTTCTCTAATATTAACTTATAAATAATTTTTTAAAAATTATTTCATGTCACTTTGAGAACAAATATATAGAGAGGCAGGTATATAAGAGAAACTCAATAAATTCTTGTCAAATAAATGGATACATTTTGAGTATTTCTTTTCTTTTTTTGAGACAGGGTCTTGCTCTGTCACCCAGGCTTCACTGCTGTGGCATGATTACAGTTCACTGTAGCCTCAAACTTCTGGGTTCAAGCAATCCGCCCGCATCGGCCTCCCAAAGTGCTGAGATTATAGGCATGAGTCAACACGCCCAGCCTTTTTGAGTATTTCAAAACAGGGTCTCAACACAGACAAAAAAGAGGTGGTCGCTTAACCTGCTTTGCAAGTGGAATTGAAAGCTCGCGTTCAAATATCTCCTCTTTCACTTGACTTGAAATTCCCATTATTAAGAACATGACATAGTGACAATTATTCATTCCACACACATGGATTTAAAAAACTACTGTGTATCAGTTGTGGGGTTACAAATGATAAGTCACATGTGCTTCCTTTGAGAAGGTCTTAATATATAGAAGAAACTAAACATGAAAACAAATGGTTGCTGTAGTATGTGTCAACTGCACTGATGGATAAAAATAAGGGCATTTTGCTCAGAAGTTTTTAGTTAGTGTGCATAAATGTTATTCAACGATGGGTCTACTAATGCTCTTCAACTCGTATATTAGTAAAAATTATACTGATAAATTCAAAGGCCTTAGGTTTTGGCTTTATGCTTTTCCTTTTCCTAGAATGCTGTTCTTTCTCTGGAAAACCACACTTTCTTCATCATGCAATTCAGTGTCCCAACCTGAAGCTCATCCAACACCTCCTGATCCCCATGCTCTTTCTACTCGCAGCACATCCCGTAGTTCTTAACCCTGGGTGTTCAGTAAAATCCTTGAGGAAGGTTCAGAGATTTTATGTATCTGAGTCTGACCTAGATTTACTAAATTAGCTGGGATGTAAGCATTTGTAGTTTTAAAACTTTCACAGGTGGTTCTAATTCTGGGGATGCATTCACTAGTCCCAGCACTAACTGTATTATAGCATAAGCAAAACATGTGTTACTGGAGTGTAAAGATTGTAGCTCTTTCAGTTTATTTTCCCAGTTTGGAGAAGGCTGTAATCACTCAGCAAAAGTTTGTTGAATATAGTCAATGAATTAGTGAGCAGATAGGGCTGGAAAGGCAGAGTCAATTTTTTTTTTTTTTAATGAAATCTTGCTTTTGTCACCCAGGCAGGGGTGCAATGGCACGATCTTGGCTCACTGCAACCTCTGCCTCCTGGATTCAAGCAATTCTCATGCCTCAGCCTCCCGAGTAGCTGGGACTCCTGGCCTGTGCCACCATGCTTGGCTAATTTTTGTGTTTTTAGTAGAGATGGAGTTTCACCATGGTGGCCAGGCTGATCTCAAACTCCTGACCTTAGGTGATCTGCCCTCCTTGGCCTCCCAAAGTGCTGGGATTTCATGCGTGAGCCACCGTGCCCGGCCAGAGTCATTTTTAACGAGGGACTCATTCTAGGTGGACAGAAGAGTGGTGTGGGTGCATGGCACTGAGTGAGGTATGAGTCCAAAAGTGGAAGCCTAAAGTGATCCTAGTTTAAGGTTTCAGGGGCATGAAAAAGAAAGAACTGGATGTCAAAGACCACCTTGGCCTGGTCTACCTTCCTTTGGCATAAGGTTGCCCCAGAGTTGGAATGGGATGACATTTGAGTAACCTCCTAGTCAGGGCTGTAACAGGTCAGCCATGGACTAGAAGACCTGAATCGGATGGCATCTAGTCCGACAATGTATCAGGTGCCCTTAGTGGGAAGTAAAAGAGACAGATACTGACCAGAAGGAGTTTAAAATCCAGTTAAGACTCATGAAACAACAAGGAAAACATTCATAGAACAACACAGCAATTAACTTACTATTTGCTGAGTGCTTTCTACATGCCAATGTTTACATTAACCACTTTACAAACGTGACGTAATTGAAAATGATTTCTATTGCCCTTGAAGAAATGTAGCCTTGGAGAGAATGAGTAACTTGTTTAAGGTTATACAGCCAATAAGTGTTGAAAACCAGATGTGGATCCAGGTTTGGCTGACTCCAGGACTTGTGTTTTTTGTGCACTGCGCTACATAGCCTTCATCCCTGAGTTGCTTGTGTACAGTCTCTGGTCCAAGTGATTACCTAAAATCATATGGTAAATTTAACCACGTGCTCAAGGTTTAAAACCTTTCCACAGCTCTCCACTGCCTTAAAGAATGTGTTAAACACAGGAGTATCTGCAGAACCAAGTAGAGATAACTGAGATGAATGAGGTCGATGTTGGTGTCCAAAAGCAGTGAGTTTACTTAAAGTTTACCTGAAGGAAGTAAGGAATGTGGAATATGAAGGAGAAAGAACAAAGCAACAAGTAAACCTAGACCTGGAATGTTTCGGGGAAAAAACCCTAGACTGACTTACACACCCACTAAAGCCAAACCTCTGCACCCACCAAACCAAACTTCTCATGAATGCACACACACACACACACACACACCCCACAGAACCTGTGAGATTCTACTATATATACTTTTTTCCAGATAAATAGAATAGTAAAATTAGTAAGATACATTTTGCCAGAGGTAAGCTTTTTTTTACACACAACGCTTCTGACACAAACTATTTCGGTTGTTTTCTCATACCAACCGATTCTCCAACTCTCTGGAAATTGACTGGGTGTCCAACAATCCAATTCAATAGACACTAACTACTCTGAGTTGGCCTCCGACTCTTCAGGTTTAAGGGCTCAGAGTGACAAGGCTGCCCTCACTTCAGATTCCAGGTGCAATGTCAGGTCATGCATACTTCTCCACCCTCCCCTCCCTTTATTAAGCTGTAGTTGAAAAATAAAAATGGTATATATTCACAGTGTACAATGTGAGGTTTTGATATATGTATATGTGTTTAATCAAAGTAAGTAACATATCTGTCACTGCACATACAACATTTTTTGTAAAAAAAGTTTTGTTGTGAGAACATTTAAAATCTACTGTCTTAGCAATTTTCAAGAATACAATACAGTATTATTAACTACATTGCCATGCTGTACAATAGCTCTCCAGAGTTTATTCATCTTAACAGTTAGAAACTGTGTACCCTTTGACCAGTATCTTCCCATTCCTTTCTTCTAACCCCCAGGCCCTGTGAACCACAATTTTACTCCCTGTTTCTATGAGTTCTACATATAAGTGAGATCTGTAGTATCTGTAGTCTTTCAGTGCCTGGCTTATCTCACTTAGTATAATGTCCTTTAGGTTTATCCAGATTGTCATAAGTGACAGAACTTCCTTATTTTGAAAAGCTGAACAACATTACATTGTGTGTGTGTGTGTGTGTGTGTGTGTGTGCATGTGTGTGTGTGTGTGTATAAAACATTTTCTTTATCCATTCATCTATTGATGGACACTTAGGTTGATTTCCTATCTATCTTGGCTGTTGTGAATAATGCTGCAATGATCGTGGGAGTGCAGATACTTCTTCAATATAGTGATTTCCTTTCTTTTGTGTATATATTCAGAAGTGGGATTGCTGGGTCATAAGGTAGTTCTCTTTTTAATTTCTAAGGAACCTCTATATGGTCTTCCACAGTGACTATACCAATTTACATTCTGACCCACATTGTACAAGGGTTCCCCTTTCTCTACATCTGCACCAACACATATTATCATTTTTTTTGATAGCTATTCTAACATGTGTGAGGTGATATCTCACTGTGGTTTAATTTACATTTTCCTGATAATTAGTGATATTGACCATTTTTTCATATACCTGTTGGCCATTCATATGTCTTCTTTTGAGAAATGTCTATTCAGGTCTTTTGCCCATTTTTAAATCTGGTTATGTGTTTTCTTGTTACTGACTTGTTTAAATTCCTTGTACAGTCTGAATACTAACCTATTATTAGATATATGGTTTGCAAATATTTTCTTTCATTCCATAGGTTGTTTCTTGTCTCTTTTCTCCTGTCCGCAGGTTGCATTCCATAGATTGTTTCTTTTTCTGTAGAGAAGCTTTTTTGATGCACTCTCATTTGCCTATTTTTCCTTTTGCTGCTTGTGCTTTTGGGGTCATAACCAAAAAATCACTGCTGAGGACAATGTCAAGAAACTTTTTTCCTATATTTTCTTCTAGCAGTTTCACAGTTTCAGGTCTTATGTTTAAGTCTTTAATCCATTTTGAATTGATTTTTTTTGTATATGTTGTGAGATAAGGGTCCAATTTTATTTGTTTGCACATGGACATCCAATTGTCCCAATGCCATTTATTGAAGAGACTGCCTTTTCCTTATTGTGTGCTCTTGGCACCTTTGTTAAAGATCAATTAACCATAAACATGTAGATTTATTTCTGGACTCTCTTTTCTGTTCTATTGGTCTATATGTCTGTTTTTATGCCAGTACCATGCTATTTGAGATCACCTGTATTTCTATGTGACCAGCCCTAAAGATATTCCCATAACCCACTCCTAAGTTTCAATCATTTCCTAGACTGGCCAACAGAACTCAGGAAGGTACTTTACTTACATTTGTCAGTTTATTTTAAAAGATACAAATGAACAGTCAGATGAGAGGTACAGGAGTAAGACCCAGGAGAGTCCCAAGCATAACAGCTTCTGTACCATGGAGCTGGGGTGTGCCACCCTCCCAGCATGCGGATGTGTTAACCAACTGGGAAGCTCTCTGCATTCAATTGTTTATGGGTTTTTATGGAAGTTTCATTAAATATACATGATTCATTAAATCATTGGCCATTGGTGATTGAACTCAATCTCTACCCCCTCTCCCCTTCCCAGAGGTTGCAGAATGGGGGTGAAAGTTCCAAGTTTCTATCAAGGCTTGACGTTTTGGGGCTTCCAGCCCCTATCCTGAAGCAACATAGGGGCCCTCAGCCACCAGACATCTAATTAGCATGCAAAATATACTCTTACCCTTATCATTCCCAAGATTCCAAAAAGTTTCAGGAGCTGCGTACTAGGAATTTGGGACACAGATCAAACGTTTACTTCTTATAATACCATAACAAGTATCTTTACATGCTGCTTCTTGTTATCTGGTGATATTGTTAAACATGAAGAAATCATTCTAAAATCTGAGACAGAAAGTTCATATCAATAACTGAAAAAGTACAGGTTTAAATGTGTGTCGACTTTAACTTAGAAGGCACATCCATTCAGATGTTACATATGCACATTCACAAGGCACATTTGAAGCCTATGCTGTGAATGAAGAGTAGTCTAGGAGGCTCTGCGGCCCTTAGCAATTTGGTCTTCACTTGGAGTTTGTATTTTCTTTCTCACTTTTTATATTATGTGGACTTGTCTCATGATGGCACCATTGTGACATATGTACAGGCTGGCCACACTCTGTTCAACTGTTGTTTGCTTAAAGCCTTCTCTCATGATAAACTGGACCCAAAGCTTACCTATTCAGCCCCCCACCCCAACTTTAGAATGGCAGGCAAATGATGTAGCTTTCCCACAGGAAATTCTCTTTATTTCTTTTTAATATTTTATGTATGTATTTATTATTGAGAGACAGTGTCTCTCTGTCACCCCAGCTGGAATGCAGTGGCGCAATCATAGCTTACTGCAGTCTAGAATTCCTGAGCTCAAGTGATCCTCCTGCTTCAGGCTCCCAAAGTCCTGGGATTACAGATGTGAGGCACCATACCTGACCTCTGCAGGGAATTCTAAGTTTATTATCACCACCATTACTTCAATTAGTTCAACAGTTTACACATACAAGTCTTGTAAGCAGCTTTGTATTTGTTTAACTCCATCTTTTGCAATAGTCTTAGCGACTGTTGCTATATTGTTATGTAAACATATACCACTTTATTGGTAAACTGTTTGTTATTTTGTTTTTATATTTTAGTTGGTTCTACTTCTCTGGGTATCTTTTCTATTGTCTTATTCCTTAATGTGTATGTCTGAGACACTGTTGAAAAAAGAGTAATTTTACATTTGAATGGCTGGTAAATAACATAATTTTAGTGGACATTTATTAAAATAAAAGAGAAGAGTACATTTTTGTGGGTTTCTATGAAATTAGTTTTCTTGCAGCATTATACCCACATAATATGTGAATAGACTAAACAAACGCATTCCTGTGCTTAACAATTAGAAGGAAGTCCATGCCATTCACTAAATATTTATTTAGGACTTACTCTGGGCCAGACACATATGGGATAGAGCTCACAGGACATGACAAGATGCTGTGAGCCTAGAATTAAGAGAGCAACAACAGGCCCTATCACTCTTCTGCTTAAAATACTTGGATAGCCTTAGGTCCAAACCGGTTCATAATATTCCTCTCCCATGCAGACACAGGCTTAAGGAGCCCCAAAAGGGAAAAGGTGGCTTTAAGATACTGACCTGTGGTCAGGTGCAGTGGGTCCTGCCTATAATCCCAATATTTTGAGAGGCTGAGGCAGGCCGATCACCTTAGGCCAGGAGTTCAAGACCAGCCTGGCCAACATGATGAAACCCTGTCTCTACTAAAAATACAAAAAATTAGCTGGATGTGGTAGTGCACATCTATAATCCCAGCTACTCGGGAGGCTGAGACATAAGAATTTCTTGAACTCAAAAGATGAAAGTTGCAGTGAGCTGAGATTGTACCACTGCACTTTAGTCTGGGCAATAGACCAAGACTCTGCCTGAGCACAAAGCTGTGCCTCTCACCCTCCCTTTTTTTCCTCTTTGCTCTGTCTTAGTACTTTCTGATCATGCTTCATATTAATTATTTCTGGTTTCCTGTCATCTTTGAATTAATTCTAGCTTTGTCCCCTGGGCCCTCACTTTCAGATCCTCTCAGTTCTACTCCATGCATATTATGGGAAAAGTCTTACCCCACCCATAACCAGACCCAGCTTCTGGAAGTATAATCCCAGAATGGCATCCGAGACCCCACTTGCCTGGCCCAGAAGTTTGGACGTGTTCCATAGCTTTGATGTTACTCTTCCTTACTTTAAGACAAAAGACGCTTTTAGATCTGACACATGTTCATTTCACTAGCTTATCTCTTGTCGTTCCTCAACTAGTATGTTATGGATCAATCCTACGAAATTTCTTGAGCAGTTTCTGGAGAAAGTAATTTATTTTCCATCTCAATCTTTGCACATGGCACATTTCCGTCTCATAAAAACACTTTTTCCATCATCCTCAATTCTCCAGCTACCTCCTCCCCTTAGCCTCAAAGTTAGTTTCAGGGGTCCCATCTTCTAAGAACTTCCAGTCTCACTTAGATGCTTCTCCTCTAAGCCACAGTGTTTAGGGCACTGTAGCAATTGCTTTATTTATGTGGCTTCCACCTGGTCCCAGATTTTGAAAGAGGTTACCATGTTTTATTAGACTTTTTTTTTTTTTTTTTTTTTTTGAGATGGAGTCTCACCGTGTCACCCAGGCTGGAGTGCAGTGGTGCCATCTCATCTCACTGCAACCTCTGCCTCTCAGGTTCAAGTGATTCTTGTGCCTCAGACCCCGAAGTAGCGGGAATTACAGGTGGGTGCCTCCATGCTCAGCTAATTTTTGTATTTTCAGTAGAGATAGGGTTTCACCATGTTGCCCAGGCTGGTCTAGCATTCCTGAACTCAGGCATTCTGTCAGTCTCAGCCTCCCAAAGTGCTGGGACTACAGGAATGAGCCACCATGCTCAACCCTTTATTAGACTTTCTATCCTATCCCTAGACTATGATAGGGACTCATTAAGTGACTATTGAGCAAATCAGCGAAGAATGAATGAATAAGTGAATTTATTGCCTAATGCAGCTACTTAAAGCTTATTAGAAAGTAGGTGTGGTATGAATTGTAAACAAACAATAGTACTACAATCTTAGTATGGAGGGTGAGAAATAGAAAGGTCTTCAATAGATAATATTTTTTCTATTTATATATGCTTTTTTCTAGATAATTGCTGAATCAAGATTTACCCAAATGTTACCAAAATCAATGGCCAATTTAGTCAAATATAGGACTCATCAGTGAATTAACAATTTTTGAGTATCTATTATGTGCACATCACTGTTTATTCTATAATGATGTCACAATTTAGTGAGGG